GAAATAGTTCCAATACAAATATTCACTTGAACATTGCAAGTGATTAAAATATTGCCTCCGACACAATGCAGAGAATAAAGTGTGATTCGTGCAAAATAAAAAATAATGCAATACGTAGTTTACAAGAAAAAAACAGAAAATTGCAGCAGAGAGTTCGTTTTTTGAAAAAATCAATGACCCGTAACAAACTTACAAACAAAAAATTTAAAAGACAATATTTTTCACTAAATTTGTGGAAATTGAATTATAAAGAAAAAAAAAAAAAATTCAGCAGAATAAGTTTCATTCTCTAGATTTCATAAATGAACTGAGAATTTCTAAAATTAGTAAAACAAAGTTGCAACAAAATGTTAAAAAGATAGAAAGGAAACACAAAATTGCTATCAAAGAATTACAGGAACAGATAAAAACAAAGAGCAAGAAAACAAACAACTTTTAGAACAAAATCATTTTTTAACTAGTATTGTTTTAGAAAAAAAAAAAAAAAGATAATAGACTACTTATAGAAACCAAAAAATTAAAAACATATGACCTATCCTAAGAAAATGTGTTTATGCTGCTATTATTAACAATGTGCCTGTGGAAAGTGTCTCATTTTTGTTAGAAAAAGTTTCTGAAGCGTTACATAACACAGAATTGCAAGAAACACTCCTCTCATCCACATTAAATAGAATGGCTTATGTTTTAGTCAGGTTTTTTAGCATTGATTCAGGCTGGTGAGGCACTTTTTCATTGTGAATGTGCAACAGTAGTGTTTGATGCAACCACCGTTTTAAACAAACATCTAAACGAGTTTCTTATCAGTACATATCCTCCGCAGAGATGTTATTCTTTATCAACCGCTAAACTTGCTGGAGTAACAGGATTTGACTGTGCCACTCATATTGTCAGCGTAATAAAAGAACTTGTCAATACGTTTGCAGAGTTAAAAAATATGCCAGCAGTAGAAGTTTTAGATTTATTTACTCAAAAAAACAAAAGTTGTCTGTCAGACAGAGCACCTGTTAATAGTTGTGTAAAAAATATGCTTCAGAAGGAGATGGACATTCGATTAATGCAACTGCTCTGCAATGTTCATCCAATGAAAACTATTCCCTTAAAAGTATTATTAGCTCTTAAAACAATAGATAATGAGTTGAAGATAAAACCGGCTAAAGGAACTGATGGGGTTGCAGTAACAGTCCTCAAAAATATCTGCAAGCTAAGGTAATCTTTTATATGTATATCTTTCATGATTTAAATTTTTTTTTAGTTTTATTTTCTCGTGAGCAATTGTTTCTTTATTATTTCCACGTTTTCAAAATTTGAAATTTTAATTTTTTTGCCCTTTTAAAATTAGGTATAGCTTTAAAGGCGATCCTGCAGCATTCAAAATCTTAAAATTAACAATGTTGCTCCAGGGCTATTTTTTAGAAATGTTGGTAGTAGATTTTATGTTTTGTTCCATATGGCATATGGTTCCATATTTGGAATTGTTGTTACATACAAAAGACTTATAAAAACGTTTTTTGAAAAGTAAGTTTTTTTTTTTAAATGAATATTAAGTTTAATAGAATTCCATGTATTAACATTTTTTCGTTATTCTAGCAACACTAAAAATAAAATTTGTCAGCTCTTACTTCAAGATATGAGTAATGATATAACGCTTGTGCAACTGCAAGGGTTGGGCCTGATAGAAAAAATAATAACTGGACCATGGATGAGTCTGGTTTATAAAAATGCAACAGGAAAGAGTAATTTTGAGTTTGTAAGTTTTTAAGGTTTTTTAGTAAATAAAGTAATTTAAAAAATGTACAAACATTATTTTTTATTAGGGTGACAATTTCCAGAAAGCAATAAGGAAATTAGCTTACTTCAAAAGTAATCCAGAATCAATTCTTTATACAGATGAGGATATTTTTAGTCAAGTATTAAGTATTAAAGGAGATAAAGTACACCAATTCCTTCGTGTAATAAAAATTAAAATATTTTAGTAAAGATTTTATCAGCTTTGATAAGTTACACAGAGACAGTTCTCAAAAGACAGATGGCAAGGTATTTGACTGGCAATCTCTCAAATCCATCTAAAGAAATGGTAAAAAGCACACTATCTGCTCCAACTCATACAATGGAGGCTGAAAGGATCTTGGGGATGCTTAATTTTTTTTTTTTTTTTTGCATTGTGCTCCTAATGCTACGTTTGCTTTTCTAGATTCTAAAAGCTAGAGTAAACAAAACATTAATATGGCTTGATGAGATAACATTGCCAGAACAACAAGACTTTATTCAATTTGCAGAGGCAAATTCAAGTCAAGCCTCTAAAAATTTTAATAATTTTTTGTATGAAGAAATAGGAAAAAGATGCGCCAATATTAAAAGAGCAATAGCTGAAAATGACAAAACCACGCATTCTCTTTTTTTTAATAGTGATGAAAAACAAAAACAACTTGGAAGAGTAATTTTGAAAAATGGAAACTTAATAGGGCAGCTCTTAAGCCAAAAATGGGAGCTAGATGATGGCAATATAGATTTATTTTTTTGGTAGAATTGTTGATCAAAAAGTAGCAACAAAAAAATATATATTACATACACAATAGAATATTGAAAAGTCAATGAAAATGAAGATGAAGATATTGACATAAGCCAGGAAAGAGTTATAGCAGATCTAATACTTAAAAACCTGGAGTTCATTTAAAAATTGCTATAACATATTAGGCATTATTATCTTTTATTTTGTTTATGTTGATTATTTTGTATACATTTTTATTTATTCTTTTTAATTTTTAAAATTTTTTATATTAACCAAGAGCAGAGACAGGGTTATTTTACATTTCAGATACTGTAATTGGCATTGTGAAAACTCTAAGTATAAGTATGTTCAATCATATGTCAAATAAGAATGATTTGCTAAAAAATTGTGGTAATTAGAACTAAGGAACTAACGTATCTAAAAAAGATAAAACTCCCCTGACTCAAATGTTAATTTAATGAGTTAATAAGTTTTTAAGTTCATTGTCATAAACTAAATTTAAACTCACATTTTTTTATGCTTAAATGTTATGACCATGTGAAATAACTTAAAAAAATAACTTTAAAAATATCAAAAATTATCAGGTCTGTTGATGGATTTAAATGAAGTATAAAATAATAAGTTAAAGTATTTTAATAATTTAGTCCATTCACATTTTTATGTGGGGGTACAAACTTCAGAGGTATTTTTGTTCCCAGGCTCCAATCACTTCAATTTTTAAAATAAATTTTTTTCACATTCTCATTAGATTTAAGCATGAACAAACTTAACTTAAGATTATTTATGGTATTTTTTTATAAAATGACTTGAATTGAATTGGACCCACTTTTAAAATTGGGCTTTAACACCCCCCCCCCTCCTTTTTTTATTTTTTTTTAAATTTATTTAATATAAGTGGGATATAATAAACAGTTTTTCTCATATTTGTGACGGTAAATTATTAATATTTGCTATGTTTTAAAGTCTAATTTTTGAAGTCATTTTCTTGTGTATCTTTGTTAAGATACACATGAAGCTTTCTAAGTTTTACTATAGCCTGCGGAGATATTAGCGTGGTCTAGCTATTAAAAAGCTCGCAGCCGCAGTTAAATACAGCTAAAATGTAAATGTGCGTATATAGTAGTATGTTTACGTGTGTATTAATATATTTATATGTATATATATATATATATATTATATATATATATATATATATATATATATATATATATATATATATATATATATATATTTATATATATGTATATATATATATATATATATATATATATATATATATATATATATATATATATATATATATATGTATATATGTATATATATATATATATATATATATATATATATATATATATATATATATATATATATATATATATATATATATATGTATATATATATATTAATACACACGTAAACATACTACTATATACGCACATATACATTTTAGCTGTGTTTAACTGAAGCTGCGAGCTTTTTAATAGCTAGACCACGCTAATATCCTTGCAGGCTATAGTAAAACTTAGAAAGCTCCATTATAAATTTATAATTAGAATGACATGGCTGCAATATAAAAATTATCATCATCTTTATTTATAGTTATAAAGATATGGTTATGATATAAAAGTTATCATTATCTTTAGTTACCTCCTTGAGTTAATAATAATAATGAAGAAGCTTGGCACGAGAAAAACTGATTAGACGACCAACATGCTTTTGCTGACAATAAAGTGGTAACAACTTAGATTTATTGGTATTACCCTAGGAAGTATTTGCATAATTTAAATTACAATGGATAAAAAAGAAATACAGTTGTGTTAAAGTGTTACCGTTAATTGCTTATTTATTGTTAGTCTGATCTATGGTTTTTGACCAACTAGGGCCAACGACAATTAGTCAAATGTAAATCCAATGCAGTTACGCCAAATAACTCAAAATGTGGTAAAGTCAAAAACAAGTTATTCCAATGTTGTTGCACTCACTACACTCTAAAAAAAAATCCGTTATATACAACGAATTGTATCTGTCGCTATTGCACTAACGGGAAATCCGTTAAGTTAACGAATTAAAATTTTAACGAATTGAACTCCGTTAGGAATACTCCGTTAAATTTACGGATTTATTTCGTTAGTGCAACGAATAATCCGTTAAAATTAAGGAGTTATTACACTAGGCAGCAAATTTTCCGCGGTTGTTATTCCTATGAAATAAATGTGTTAATAAGTTATTTTAGTGATTATTTCGTTAAAATCACTAAAATCTAAAATTAGAGAGGCCAGAATTGTGACTTCATAACCAAATAATCCTTACATTTGTTAATGTTTGCATTTTTATTTAATTGCATTATTTTATTTCGATATTCTACATTAAAACATTTTAACCAAAAATTGAAAACTAATCAAATATTTATAATATTTAATCCAATATACTTTAAATTACAATAAAAATAGTTAAAAAAAAAAAATTTTTAATACACTATACTCAAGCTAGTACATTTATATAAAACACACACATATATATAATAGATGTTTAAAATAAAGCAATGCCAAGATATTAGTTTTTGGTCGCTAGTTTTGGTTTGGTTGGTTTAAATAGGTTTTGGTTTTGATTACTGTTGTTACTCGTACACAGGTTCGCACTTTAAATCGGACACCATGCTGTCAACTCCTTAAAGATTAATATAAAATAAAATAAGGAAAATATGGAAACTTAATAACATATTTAGTATAAAACCAAAATAAAATGTTACTGATAACACTATAGAAAATGTTTTTAGTAATTCATTATATATAAATTTCTATTCTAAATTTTGTTATTTTAATTATCTCTGATATCGTTTTCTAAAGATAAAGTTAAATGGAACAAGTAAATTATATCTTTATTAAATTGTAAATTAAAAAAAAAGCATAAGATTACCTTGACATTATCTGATAACTGAACGACTCTATACATTTCACATACATCAATACCTATCAGGAGCAAAAATAAGGTCTCTAACCTTTTAAAAACTATGATAAATCAAAACAAGATTAAATATGCAAACCAAAAAAACGCAAGCAACTATATAAAAAAAATAATTTTACAACTTATTTAAACTTACAATGTCATACCACTAGTCACATAGCTAATTGCTATGTAAAATAGCTAATTCTAAAATAATAGTGAATATAGAATATAGTAGAATAATAGTTAAAAAAGTGTGATATAAACTTAGTCTTAACTAAGCTTAATAAATATGCATGCCAAAAGAAATGCAAGTTAAAATACAATTTTTTTAAATTTACTAATTCAAACTTACAGTGGGATATCACAAGCCACGTGTCTAAAATAGCAAATTCTAAAATAATATAAACACGCTAGATATAAACTTATTATTATTATTATTATTATTATTATTATTAATAGTTGAAACTCAACTAAATAAACGCCAATAGAAATGCAAGTTACAATATAAATTTTACAACCAATTTAAACTTACAGTATGACAGCTTATACCAAGTGTCTAAAATAGCAAATTCTGAAATAATATAAACAAGCCATTCACAAACTTAGTTGTAATCTAATCATATAAACATGAACGTCAAAAGAAATGCAAGTTAAAATATTTTTTTTTTTTAATTTACTAATTCAAACTTATAGTGGGATACCACATGCCACGTGTCTAAAACAGTAAATTCTAAAATAATACAAACACATCAAATATAAACTTAGATTAAACTCAACTAAATAAATATGCAAGTTACAATATAAATTCTACAACCAATTTAAACCTACAATGTGACACTAAATGCCGTGCCTCTAAAGCAGCAAATTCTAAGATAGTATAAATAACTCATATAAAACCTTAGATGTAACTCAATTAAATAAACATGAATGTTAAAAGAAATAGAAGTTCCAATATAAATTTTTTAATTTTACAACTAGTTTTAACTTACAGTGGGATAGCAAATGCCATGTGTCTAAAGCAAAAAATTCTAAAATACAGGGTTATTCATTTTTATATGCGCGTCTATTCATTTTTATATGCGCCTTTATTCATTCTTATATGCGCATTTATTCATTTTTATATGCGCCTTTATTCATTTTTATATGCGCATTTATTCATTTTTATATGCGCATTTATTCATTTTTATATGCGCCTTTATTCATTTTTATATGCACATTTATTCATTTTTATATGCGCTTTTATTCATTCTCATATGCGTTTTACAAAAGCAATTTTTAAATAGCAATTTGAACAAAAAAAAAATTATTTATGCAATTTGTTTTGAAAAAGCAGTTTATTTTTTCAATACAAATTTTTCTTATTTCCAGGTAAACGAGGTTAAAAATACTTAAAACGAAGACTTTTTAAATTCGACGATGGTTTATTTAATTTTGTATTAGTTCTTTGTAATTTTATTATTAAATTTCTTGATTGATTAAGTTATTATTTATCTAATTATTCATTTATTTCGACTTAAATTTACTTATTTATAATTATTATTAATATCAAATTATACATCCCTATGTTTGTATATGCGTCAACCACCCATAAATCTCTAATATAATTTAATATAAACGATAAATACGCTTTTAAATTTTTATATAGACATACTTAAAATATAAATTAGGTTGTTTTCATTGTTATTTATTTAAGAAATGGTTGCCGAGCCAACGCTTGATTTATATAACTACGCATATGGTTGTAAAATGGAACTTTATTAAACTCTGTAGTATCCATAATATTTTTAAGTTTCCTGATTACCTCATCCGTATTTCGAGGCCTTTCTCCCTGTTTGTAAGTATGTTTTAAAGAAGAAAAAAATTCTTCTATTGGATTAAGCTGTGGCGTGTAAGCTGGCAGATACTTAATAGCTATACCATGAGCGGCTAGTGTTTGCCTAACAGAAAAACTCCAGTGGAATTTACAATTCAATGTCCATAACAAGCACCGGCACTTCCACATTTGCATTCCTAATCGCTGGTGCCATCATTGTAGTTATGAAAGTACAAAATGAATCTGCATTCCAGCCTCCAGTTTTTGTTTCATAAGCAAGCACTCCCATTGTTGAAACAGCACAAATTAAACTAACATTCTTGCCACGATTTGCAGGCGACTGTAAAACTACTGGCGCACCTCTTAGCGAATAACCATATGTGCTGTTAGTGTGCACATTAAATCCAGTTTCATCCAAATAAATAAGTTTTTCATCTGAAATTCCGTTAATTTCGCTTGCAAATGCATAGCGTGCATTAATAATATGTGTTGAATTTCGTTCTTCTGGCACATGCACAACACGTTTTCTTGATAAATCCGAGCGTTTGTGTTTTCTTGAAATAGTAGGCTGAGACATGTTGAAGCCTGCTGCAGAAAGATTTTCTTTTATTGTTTCTTGCGTGCAAAGATTGTTTTCTTGTACGCATAATTCGATAATATTTTTTATTTGAGCGTTTATAGGTCTTTCACCTCGTTTTTTATCAGAAGACAACTTGAATGCAGTCATGTCGTCGAATTCTCCTCTGTTTAACTTAACGACAAGATTTTGAACTGTGCGCTTCGATAAATTAAGAGAAGTGGAAATGCTTAAAAATGAATAAAGACGCATATAAAAATGAATAAATGCGCATATAAGAATGAATAAAGTCGCATATAAAAATGAATAAATGCGCATATAAGAATGAATAAAGGCGCATATAAAAATGAATAGACGCGCATATAAGAATGAATAACCCTGTAACTTAATCAATCAAAAAATTTATTAATAAAATTACAAAGAACTAATACTAAATTAAATAATCTAAGTAATTTTAACCTCTTTTACCTGGAAATAAGAAAAATTTGTATTGAAAAAATAAACTGTTTTTTCAAAACAAATTGCTTAAATAATTTTTTTTTTGTTCAAATTGCTATTTAAAAATTGCTTTTGTAAAACGCATATGAGAATGAATAAAGGCGCATATAAAAAAGAATAAAGGCGCATATAAAAATGAATAAAGGCGCATATAGAAATGAATAAAGGCGCATATAAAAATGAATAAATGCGCATATAAAAATGAATAAATGCGCATATAAAAATGAATAAAGGCGCATATAAAAATGAATAAATGCGCATATACGAATGAATAAAGGCGCATATAAAAATGAATAGACGCGCATAAAAAAATGAATAACCCTGTAATATAAACACACCAGTATAAACTAAGTTTATGTTATAGGATGCCACATGTTTAATTTGGAAATTAATAAAAATTGCAATTTATAAAAGCAGCGTTTTTTTTCAAGCAGCGTGTTGAAGCGAACAGACGCGTTTTTTCTACAGCGTGTTAAATTTTAAATTAAACATGGAAACCTCTTTTAAAAATATAGAAAAATTAATTATCAAGAAGTTGGAGGAACAAAAGATATGTATATTACAAGAAACAGAAAAGTTGTTGAAAGAACAAGAAAAAAGCTTCGCGTCGATAATGAGTGCAAACTTGAAAATATTAACGGAAAGAATAGAGAAAATTGAAATATATGTAACAAATAATAAATCCAACATTATGAATATCGAAAAAGATCTGAACGATGTCAAAACAACATTAAACTTCCAAGAAACAAACCTTATAGATAAAATAAAACAAATTAGAAAGTGTTATGACAACGAAGTAAATATGTTGACCAAAAAAACAATCGATCTCGAAAACAGATCTCGACGAAACAATCTGCGAATAGATGGAGTAAAAGAAAAAGCAGGTGAAACCTGGACTGAATGCGAGGATACAGTTAAAGATATTTTTAAAAACCAACTAAAAATAAATAGCGAAGTTGTTGTAGAAAGAGCACATAGAGTAGGCAAAACAAAAGATAGTAAAATACCTAGAACTATAGTTCTGAAACTTTTAAATTATCAAGACAAGAACAAGATTCTTAACGCTGTTAAAAACTTGAAAGGTACTGGTGTATTCATCAACGAAGATTTCGCAAAGGAAACTATCGAGAGTCGCAAAAAGTTGTGGGAAGAAGTCAAACGTCTACGCGGTGAAGGAAAGTACGCCATTATCAAGTATGATAAAATTTTTTGTAGAGAATTTAAAAATCCCATCCCTAACTTTAAGTCCTAAAAAGAAGCCTTTCTAAAAGTAAATGCTCAAATAAAATTATATTAAAAAAAAAAAAAGCATGGCTGGAATCAGTGACTTTGAATCCATGCGTTTTAACTTTAATGAAATAAATGATGTAAATATAGACCCCGATATAAACTATTCCTACGAGGCGCTTACGGATTGCTCATATTACTTTCCAAGCGATTTAGAAGGGTTTCTTTTTAAAAATGTTTATGACAAATGTTTAAATAAAATTATGATACTACACGTAAACATTCGAAGTCTTAATAACAATTTTGAAAAACTTTTAAACTTGTTAGAGGAAACAAAAAATCGTTTTAATATAGTTTGTTTAACTGAAACCTGGATTTCAAATAACATAGATAATACTTCGAACTTTTATATTCCTCATTTTAAATTAATTTCGTTTAAAAGACAAGTAAATAAACGCGGCGGAGGAGTCATTATATATGTGAATGAAAATATTGTTTATTACGTTAGGAATGATTTAAGTGCTTCTGATAGCGATAAAGAAATTTTGACTATTGAAATTATGAACAATCAATCTAAAAACATATTATTAAGCTGTTGTTATCGCCCACCTGACGGCGTGAGCGAGAACTTGAGCATTTTTTTTGAACAAAGTATTTTCAAAAAAGGTATTAAAGAAAACAAAAAGAACTTTATTATTGGAGACCTAAATATGAATTGTTTTCTTTATAATGAAGATAACAAAATTAAAAACTTTTACGACTCCTTTTTTGAGGCGGGAGCAATTCCTTTAATAAACAGGCCAACTAGAGTAACAAAAAACTCGACGTCTTTGATTGATAATATTATTACAACAGATATATTCAACAATAATATTCAAACAGGTATCCTAAAATCTGATATAACTGACCATTTTCCAATATTCTTGACAATTAATTCTGAAATTAAAAATAAAATAAACAAAATTAAAATCCGCATTTTTAACCATACAAATATAAAGTTGTTTAAAAACCAACTATCGTTACTGCACTGGAAGCATATTAACTTCAATGACAATGCAGACAAAATTTATGATAACTTTTATGAAACCTTTTACTCCGTTTATGACGCAAACTTTCCTATTATTGAAAAGACAATAACTCCAAAATATAAAAATAACCCCTGGATAACAAAAGGATTTAAAAAATCATCCAAGATTAAACAGAAGCTGTATATAAAATATCTTAAAACAAAATCATTAGATAATGAGAAAATATATAAAAATTACAAATATCTCTTTGAAAAAGTTCGTAAAAATTAAAAAAAAAATTATTACACAAGACTTCTAGATAAATTCAAAAATAACACAAAACGCAATTGGCAAATAATGAACGAAATTACTGGCAGACAAAAAAAAATGCTCAGGTTCTCTTCCCCAGATGGTTATAGTGGATAACAAACGCATATGCGAACCAAAAGCTATAGCTCATGAGTTTAACAAATTCTTCACTGACATTGGTCCTAAACTAGCAAATAAAATTCCTTATACCAAAGCAACATTTAACGATTTTCTAGTACAGATGGATAATTGCATTAGTTCCAACGAATTATATTCTGAGCTAACTTTTTATGAATTCGAAAAAGCATTCAAATCCCTTAAAAAAAGCAAAGCAAACGGAGCAGATGACATAAACGGTAATATAGTTATAGAATGTTTTGAACAATTAAAAGATATACTTTTTAAGGTTTATGGAGCATCTATTCACCAAGGAGTTTTTCCGGATCAATTAAAAATTGCTAAAATTACCCCAATTTTAAAAGAGGGAGATCAAACAAATATCAGTAACTATCGTCCTATCTCCGTCCTCTGCACATTCTCAAAAATACTAGAACGCATTATGTATAATAGATTATACAATTATTTCCTTTCTAATAATTTGTTATACGCCAACCAGTTTGGTTTTAAAAAAAATAATTCGACGGAACATGCAATTATCCAACTTGTACGTGAAATTTCAAATTCTTTTGAAAAATCTAAATTTACATTAGGTGTTTTTATCGACCTATCGAAGGCGTTCGATACTGTAGATCATAAAATTTTGATACAAAAACTGAAATACTATGGAATAAATTACAAAGTTATAAAATGGTTCCGAAGTTATTTATCTAACCGTAAACAATTTGTTTTTAGTAATAGTTGTTATCCAAATGAGTTCCTAAATGTTTCATGTGACGTTCCCCAAGGCTCCATTTTGGGACCACTGTTGTTCTTGATTTATATAAACGACCTAAATAAAGCCTCAAATTTAATGAGTATAATGTTTGCTGATGACACCAACTTATTTCTTTCCGATAATGATATTTACAAACTCTTTTCTAGTATGAACGATGAACTTAAAAACATATCAAAATGGTTTATATGCAATAAGCTAACTCTTAACAGTAACAAAACAAAATGGATTCTCTTCCATCCAATCGCAAAAAAACCTTATTTACCCCAAAATTTACCAGAAATCTTTATTGATAATACTGTGATAAAAAGACACTATGTCACAAGGTTTTTGGGTGTTTTTCTTGATGAAAACATCACATGGAAAGCGCATATTGACTATATTAGCACAAAAATTTCTAAAAGCATTGGAATTTTATATAAATCGAGAACATATCTATGTAAAAAAGATTTAACCCAACTATACTACACATTTATTCATACCTATTTAAATTATGCAAATATTGCTTGGGGAAGCACAGAAAAAAGCAAATTAAAATGTCTTTACCGCCGTCAGAAGCATGCGATCCGTTTAATTAATTTTGCGGATCGATACACTCATTCCAAACCTTTTTTTATTGAAATGAAAATTCTTAATATTTACGAACTTAATGTGTTTAATGTTTTATGCTTTATGTATTTGTGGAAAAAAAACTTATCCCTACCTATCTTTAAAGTTCTCTTTTGTGAAAAACCAATAAATAAATATACTCTTAGAAATAATAAATTTTTGCATAAACCTTTTTGTCGAACAAAGTTTAACCAGTATGGTATTGCTTATCGTGCGCCATATCTTTGGAATGAAGTTGTTTTGCCAAACTTTAATATATTTTACACTTTTCCAATTTTTAAACATAAACTCAAAAATTTTATTTTATTTTCCGATGACATAATAAGGTTCTTCTAATTGTAATTATGTACCTTTATTTAGAACTTTTTAATTGTAAAATACGTTTTATGTTAATTGTAAAATACGTTATATGTAACGACTCTTTTTGTTTTACTTTTCTTTTTGTTTTACTTTTTATATGTAACGACTCTTTTTGTTTTACTTTTTATCTTTTTGTTTTACTATTTACTTTTACTGTTTATTTTATAAATAGATTATATACATTGTAAATAATTATGCTAAATGCTTGTAAAAGGTTCTGATGATAAGATCAGTACGATCTTCTTTCAGAAACCTTGTTTGTATTTGTTAAAGTATTGTATTACGACAAATGTAAACTTAAAATGTAAAAAAAAAAAAAAAAAAAAAAAAAAAAAAAAAAAAAAAATATTTACTAGCCATGTAAACTTAGCTGTAACTAACCTAAATAAATGTACCTATCAAAGATGTTAACATTTTTAATTTTACAACTGATTTAAACTAATATGGTATGTTACTACATGTCATGTGTCTAAAATATAAAGTTAAAAAAGACTATAAATAATCCATTTAGTCTATATTATAGAAATAATTGTTCAACTAACCCTGTAAATGTAACCATGTAAATGTGAGAAAAACGCATTCAAAACTTTATCATTTTCAAAATAAAAAGCTATAATAAACTGAAAATTTTTTTTTGACCGATTAGAATATTTAATCCGTTGAATTAAAGAAATTTCAAATAATCCGTAAATAGTTAATTTTACTCCGTTAATTTTCTGGTTTTTGGTAACGAATTAATCCGTTAATTTAACGAAAAAGCGCAATCCGTTACTTTTTTTAACGGACTGTTTTTAGAGTGTAGCGTTATTGTTTCAACAATATTTCAATACTTTGTTCTAACAATATTTCAATATTCAGTTTCATGTTCACATTTAAGCAGAATTTTTTTTTTTTTAAATAGTTGACTTAATAACTGAAAATTATTTTTTAATTTCATTATCTGAAATAATTTGAGAAGAACTAAAAATACGTACTTTATAGGCATGAAATAGTATAATAATATAATGCAATGTTAAAAATTTCCGTTAGAGAAACGGAAATTTATACCGTTACTTCAACGGAAAGTATCCGTAAGTCCATGTATGAATGTATCCATAGTCATAAAAAATATATAGTCTGGAAGCAAACAATAGCGCTTTGTTTATGTTTTTGTTCCAGAAATTATTTGTTCTCATTCTTCCGAAGGTGCACAGAAAACAAAAACATCTCAAAGCGAAAGTATTGATCTCCTTTTTTTCTTGTTATTTTTACATTAAATTTAAACAACTGTAATTTATTTTAGTGAATTGATTACAATTTTCTTTATTATTATTTGTTCTTGCAAGCTTGGCATTCTTAAAAAAAAAAGATTTATTTAAAATTATGCAAAATTACATTGTCCCATTTCAATAAGACGTTGTCTAATATTACTAAAAAAGTTCAAAAGTCTATGATATAAATTTTCTTCAGCCTAAAAAATGACTTTAAAATAACTATGAAAATTAAAGACAAAAAAATATATATACATACATAAATATATCCATATATAAATATATCCATATATAAATATATATATATATATATATATATATATATATATATATATATATATATATATATATATATATATATATATATATATATATATATATATATATATGTATATATATACATATATATATATATATATATATATATATATATATATATATACATATATATATATATATATATATATATATATATATATATATATATATATATATATATATATATATATATATATATATATATATATATATAGGTACGCGCACTGAAATTTTTAAATTAATCATATAGTAGAATGTTATATATCATTAGAAAGGCCTT